ATCTCTAAGCTGGATCCTGCGAAATAAAAAAAAAACAAATAGATTTGACTTTAAAATAAACAAATATTTATCGGTGAGAAAAAATCTTGGATAAATTACTAAAAAATATATATAAGAATCTCGTATTAAAATTGCAAACTAATCGATTCGGTTTTCGCGAATTTTTGAGAAAAACGCGTTTAAAGTTTTTACTTGTACTTTCAAGTACTCCGAAACGACTTTTAAAATTTGCGTTTAACTTCGATAATATTCACCGGAACGAAATATAAATTATTTTGTGTTATTAAATATATGAACATTAGGAAGTAAATAAAAACATATCGATTTTTCTAAATGCAAACTGTATACAACCCCTTAATCATCCTGAATTTGAAATACGATTACACATACTCTGTGTACGAAAAGTTTGCCGCTCCGTTGAGAGATTAATTTGAACAGGGCTCCTTCCAATCATCTCAAACAGTTATTTTCTAAAATTATATTTTGTTTGGCTATCGGATCCCTCCAATCGATACAGACGGAAAAGTTGGAAAAACCAAAAGAAAAAACAATCCGAAAACCTAATATGTTTAAGCGCAAACAAAACTAGTGACGGAACACAACAGCTGAGAGTCAATCACAGTGAATCGGATTCAAATCTCTTGCTTATCGAACGTCTAGCAAAACAGTAGCTCAATCTGAGAAAAATAATAAAGCATACTGGTACACCTCTGCACCTCGACATCATATACAAAACTAAATATGTAAAATGTCAGGAATCTCAAGTACTCCTACTAAACCTCAGGGTACCGGCCAGGCCAGGACATTTACTGCAACACCTGCTAGCGTCTTAAAACGGTGTCGATCAGACACTCCGTCGCAAAATACTCACACACCAATGAGCACAGGCAACCTGGTAGATCTAAGAGATCTGAAATCCATACTTGAAAGCAAAATTTGACGATAATTCGATTGCCACAAAAATGGTTGCCATTCAGCAAAATGTAGAATGTCTCTCAAAAAAGGTCGATTCGCTAACAGAGGAAAGCCAAATAGTGCAGGCGTCAAAAGCGACAGCGAAAACAAACAAGCATGACTCCTACAACTAGAAGACGCTAATAAACTCGCTACAAAATTTGACGATAATTCGATTGCCACAAAAATGGTTGCCATTCAGCAAAATGTAGAATGTCTCTCAAAAAAGGTCGATTCGCTAACAGAGGAAACCCAAATACTGCAGGCGTCAAAAGCGACAGCGAAAACAAACAAGCACGACTCCTACAACTAGAAGACGCTAATAAACTCTTTGAAACTTTTCTGGCCAATGATGAAACAAGTTTTGTGAATTACTTTCCTGATCACTTGGTACAATGGATACCAGCTGATAAACGAAGTACACATATAAACAAGTAAAACGCCGAAATCATCAAAACACGAAACACGAAAAACTATATATCCTCCCAGTTTACATTAACTGCAAAAACTGAAAAAGATTTTGAAAAGATGACTGACAGCAGGTTGTGACATACACTTGCTCGCATAGTTCTACGTTAACCATAAAAAAATATAAATTTTTACATTTAACATTAAACTACTTTGGCAATTTTAATTAAAAAAAAAAATGTAAAAGTATTCATAGTATTAAAAAAAATGACCCAGCAAAAGTCTGCGTAAAAGTTATTTGTTGGAAAATTTTTGTTAAAATGCAACGATCTTGGAACCCTGTTGAGTGGCTTAGAATGCATTGCAATTTATGTAATTTTTGTCAGGATAGAGCCCAATGGAAAAGAGATTTGCGTAGCCGAGAGAAAAATTACAATAAAGATTATTTCTTGAGAGTAAAGCTACCGTGAAGTCGGTAATGAAGATGGTAGGGCCCACTCCTCCATACAGAAGGTAGTTCTTAACTACACTGCCACCGGTTCTATCCTTCAAACCCCGTGCTGGTCGTCCTCTGGCTTAAGGCTTGGTTTTCAGGATACCAAAATTGGTAGTCGCTCAACCCCTTTCTGATCATGTGCCTATCGAAGTTCTTTTGAAAGTTTTTCTGCAAAAACTGAAACGAAAGCTAAAGTGGAAGGACAACCACCGCCTAAGTTACGCAAATGCATTTATCAGGAGTTCAACGTCTGGAACATCTGAGTTAAATAAACTGCTCAACTTAATCGTAATCTTTAGCAGAAAGCACCCGTGGTTCGACGTACAATGCGAAAGGGATCGGAAACACTCATTTGATTGCCTTTAACAACTAAGACGAAAAGAAATAACGGTCAATATCTACAAAACGGCAATAACAAACTGAAAATGTTTATGAAAAGAAAAACGCCAACTACAAGAAGTTTGCTACAGCAATAAATTCTGGGATATCATAAATAAATTAAACGGGAACAGACAGAAAAAAAAACATAAAAGAAAACTCAACAGATTTCAGTGGCCTACTATCCCAAATGCAGTCCAAATGGACTCCCCTTTCAGCATAGCAGAAATAGAAAGCGCTGTCCTAATACTAAAGCAAAAAAAAAGCTCCTGATTATGCCAGAATAGCCGCTGAATTTTTCAAAAACGCTCCGCTCCGCTCAGTCGCTAAGATTTGTGCTGGAGCCCTGCTAACACGTAAGACAACATGGGTTAACCAGGAACATATTCTCAGTGAGTTTCTGACATCTCAAAAAGTTTCTCTATAGTGTATTCGTGCTGTCATCAATCGCAACAAAAAAGAAAGCTATAATTTTCTTTGTGACTTTAAAACCGCCTTTGATACAGCGAACTGAAATAGCCTTTGATACAAACTAAGTCAACTCGGACTCTCAACTTAAGCCATACTAGCACTGTCAAATATCTATGAGGATAAAAGTGTGTGGGATAGGTCAGAGAGCTTTCAAATTGGTTCGATACCAACATTGAAGTCAAACAAGGCTGCATTCTCAGACCTCTCCCCTTTTCTCCCTTCTCTGAGTACTGTAGCTTATGGAACCTCGTCTTAAATACAAGGAAATCTAATATTATGGAAGTTAAGTGTACTGGTACTGGCCGTCGCGCTAGGAACGAACACTAGCAACTTAACGGAATCCAGCGGGAACGTGATTAATCCATAAAATAAAAGATAAGATTTTAGGAAAAAAAAAACGTTTAAACGAGAGCCAAATACAGTCGATTCCAGGCGACAGTCTAAACAATCATGTGCTATACGGCAGAGGTGTTGGGAAATCAGAAATATAAAAATGCGGAACACGTGCTAATTTTTATGGTAAAAAAAAATTTCGACACACAAAATTTTCACAACTATGTCAGTTTTATTGAAACTGGACTGCCAATATATTTTCTTACACCCTTCAGTAGCACGCTAATTAATTTCTGAAAGGAACGAATTTCCGTCCTTTAGATGGACGGATATTGCAACCGAATGCAACTGCTTCCTTGATCTCGATGATGCATATTCGTGGAGCAGGACTCATGCCGAAATCGTTACCAGATACCACAGTAAGGAAAGGGAAACTTTTATAACTATAACTAAGACCAAAAACAGCGTCGCGGCGCGTTTATAAAAAATCTTCAGCACAATTTATTTGAAAACAAGAAAGAAAGCAAACTTCGGCAAGCCGAAGTGTATATACCCTTGCAGCTATTGCAAAAACTAAATATTCTTGAAAACATTAAAATTATGATTTACTTGGGTATATGTTTAAAAACATTGAAGCTATGATGATTTGCAGCTTAATTATTCGTTGGTTCCTATGGCAGCTATATGATACGTTTTCCGATTTCAATAAAATTAAAAGCGTAATTCTGAACTTTGAGTTTATTAATAAGTTAAAAAGAATTTAAAAAAAAAAGTTACAAAATAGAAAAGTGACATTTACGAATATTGAATAGCCCTATTCTATTATCAAAAATAACATAACACAACACTGAATTTAGTATTTTGATCAGACCTATAATCTGGTCGCATTTGAATTTGCCTCTTTCCTTTTTTCACGGGTTCTGAGCATGTGGCGTGTGTTATTAAAAGCTCATAAAATAATAACTAAAATATAAAACCAATCTCAGTGTGTTATTTGTCTTGGTGCTAAAGGATTACAACAGGTTATGGGCCCAGTCCACGTTCGTTTAAAAAATTAAAAGTAAAAAACACAATTTTTGAGTTTATACACACGCGAGTGAATACATATATGTACATGATGGACAAATCAAAGCGAAACATAAAACCGTTTGACGGTGAGAAATATTCAGTTTGAATAAGAGCACTTCTTGCTGAACAAGACATATTAAAAGTAATTGATAGTGAGACTCCTGATGAAATAGATGAAAGTTGGGTTAAGGCAGAGAGGAGCGCTAAAAACATATTGATAGAGCATTTGAGTGACTCCTTCTTGAATTTCGCAACGAGCGACAACACAGCACGCGAAACTCTCAGAAGCCTGGATTCCGTGTATGAACGAAAAAGTATTGCGTCGCAGTTATCTGTGCGCAAACGGTTGTTGGCGCTTAAACTCAAGAGTGAGATGGCTCTAGTGAACCACTTTATTATTTTTGATGAACTAGTTGGCGAACTTTTAGTGTCGGGGGCTAAAATGGACGAAATGGATAGAATCTCGAATTTGCTAATTACAGCAATAGAGATACTTTCAGAGGAAAGTATATCGCCCGCGTTTGTAAAGAACCGTTTACTAGACCACGAAATAAAATTAAAAACACTAATAACGACAATAGTAGAAAGGTTATGCAGACTGAGGCTAAAACTAAATTTAACAATAACTATAAAAACAATAATAGCTCTAAATATAAACAAAAAATTATAATACAAATTATAATACACGCAATACGGTTTGCGTGAAACAAAAAGTAAATAACATAAAATTTTATCATTGTGGAAAGTTAGGACACATGAAAAAAGATTGTTTCGGCTATAATAAACAAATAAATACTGAAAATAACAAAGAGAATAACAAACGAGCGCACACTGCAACCACAAAGCCAGGCTTCGCGTTCATGCTGAAAAGTGTAAATAAAAATGTTAATAATTCAAAAGTGAACGTGAATTTTATTCTTGACTCGGGTGCTACCGACCACCTCATAAATGATGAGGCTTTATTTATGGACCATGCTGATCTGGAAACTCCAATAAAAATTGCCGTTGCTAAGCATGGGGAGTATATCTTCGCAACAAAACGAGGAGTCGTCCGTCTGAAAAATGAACATCAGATAACGCTGGATGATGTACTGTACTGCGGAGAAGTTGCAGAGAACCTGATATCGGTCAAAAGGCTACAAGAGACTGGAGTAACAATAGTATTCGACGAAAAAGGAGTTAAATTGAACAAAAACGGTGTCACGATTGCTGAAAACACAGGTGCGTACAATATGCCAGTTATTGAATTTAAAGCTTATAAAGTTAATTCGAAAAATACAGATTTATATAAACCATGGCACGAAAGTAAAGGAAAAATGTTAGAAATAAAAAGAAAGAATTTATTTAATGATATTCGTCTACTTGATAATGTTAATCCTTCTGAGGATATATGCGAAGCTTGTTTAAATGGAAAGCAAGCCAGATTTCGATTTTCTAAATATAAAATTAAAGAGCATATAAATAGGCCCCTTTATGTTATTCATTCTGATGTCTGTGGTCCGATAACACCAACAACTATTGATGATAAAAATTACTATGTAATTTTTGTGGGTCAATTTACCCATTATTGCGTCACTTATTTAATAAAACAAAAGTCGGATGTGTAAAAGATTTTGGGCCAAAAAGTGAAACACACTTTAATATTAAAATTGTTAATCTATACATTGACAACGGTAGGGAGTATTTATCTAATGATAGAAAGGAATAAGTTACCACTTGACTTTACCATATACTCCACAATTAAATGGAGTTTCAGAACGAATGATCAGAACAATTACTGACAAGGCTCGTGCCATGGTAAATGGTGCCAGACTAGATAAATCATTTTGGGGTGAAGCGGTGTTGACGGCAACGTATTTAATAAATAGGATTCCAAGCAGAGCACTTGGAGATCGCGAAGCAACGCCGTATGAAATGTGGCATAATAGAAAGCCGATTTTGAAATATTTAAAAATATTTGGTTTGCATAACAAGATTAGGAAACGGAAATTGTCGGGTACGAACCAAATGGCTTAAAGGTATGGGATATTGAAAATGAGAAATTTATGGTTGCCAGAGACAAATATGGTTAACTCTAGAGCTACTAAAAGTGAAATCCTGAATGATAGTAAGGATAATAATAAGAAAATTAAATTCCTGAAGGAGAGCAGGGAAAGTATGCCCCTGAATGAAAGTAAGGAAGGAATGTAATTTCCAGAATGAGAGTATAGAATATTTTGAACAAGGTTTCCTGAATGAGAGTAAAGTAAATGAAAATTTCCAGAATGAGAGAATGGAATATTTTGAACAAGATTTCCTGAATGAGAGTAAGAATAACGTAAATGAAAATTTCCAGAATGGGAGTATGGAACATTTTAAACTAAAAATCCAGAATGAGAGTAAGGATACATAAATAAAAATGTTCAAAATGAGATTTTTGAACAAGTGATCCTGAACGAAAGTAAGGATAGCGATAACAATAGTGTCCTGAATAAGAGTAAGGAAGGAAAGCAGCCTAGAAAAATTTCAACAAACGAAATTGGTAATAAAGCTAACGATTTAACTAGAAGAAGCGAAAGATTGAAAAATAGACCACACATATCTTATAGTGAAGATGATCTAAGTCTAAATAATTTTATAATGAATGCTCACACTGTTTTTAATGAAGTTCCTTATTCATTTGATGAAGTACAAAGTAGAAAAGATAAGTCTTTATGGGTCGAAGCTATCAAGGTCGAACTCTCTGCTCATGAATAAAATAAGACATGGACTATTGTTAAAAGACCTGAAAATAAGAACATTGTAGATTGTAAGTGTGTATTTACTTTCAAGCATGATGAAACGGGAAATCCAATTAGATATAAAGCAAGACTAGTTGCACGCGGTTTTACACAAAAATATCAAATAGACGACTACGACGAAACGTTCTCTCCTGTTGCGAGAATTTCTAGTTTCAGTTTTATTTTATCGATTGCAACTCAATATAATCTTAAAGTACATCACATGAATGTTAAAACTGCTTTTCTCAATGGTACGCTGAAGGAGGAAATATATATGAAATTTCCTCAAGGAATTATTTGAAATCGAGAAAACGTATGCAAATTGAACAAAGCCATTTAGGGGCTCAAACAAGCAGCTAGATGCTGGTTTGAAATTTTTGAGCAGGCATTAAAAGAATGTAGATTTAAAAATTAACCCGTCGATCGCTGCATATATGTTCAAGATAGAGGCGATAACAAGAAAAATATTTATGTCTTACTATATGTGGATGACTTAGTAATAGCAACATCAGATATAAAAGCATTAAACAATTTTAAGCAATACCTAATGTCAAAATTTAGAATGACTGACTTGGGTGAAATACGTTACTTTATTGGAATGAAAATAGAAATTGGCCAAGATCAGATATCTTTAAGCCAATCTGAATATATTAAAAAGGTTTTAAATAAGTTTAATATGGAAGACTGCAAGTCTGTAAATACTCCGCTTCCGTCAAAACTAGATTATGAAATGTTAAATGCAAACGAAAAATACGATGCTCCTTGTCGAAATTTAATTGGTAGTTTAATGTACGTAATACTTTGTACACGTCCCGATATAGATACTGGAGTGAATATCCTAAGTAGGTATACTAATAAAAATAATATAGAGCTATTGCAATATTTAAAAAGATCTTAAGGTATCTTAAGGGAAACATTGATTTAAAAAATAATTTTCAAGAAAAATATTAATTACGAACACCTATTTGTTGGCTATGTCGACTCAGATTGGGGTGGAAATGAAAATGACAGAAATAGTACATCTGGTTACCTTTTTAAAATGTTTAATTCCAATTTAATTTGTTGGAATACAAAGAGACAGAATTCTGTGGCAGCTTCATCCACTGAAGCAGAATACATGGCATTGTTTAAAGCTGTCAGAGAAGCATTATGGCTTAAGCCCCTCTTAGAAAGCATTTACATTAAATTTGATAAGCCAATAAAGTTGTTTATAAGCATAGCCAGCAATCCGTCTTGTCATAAGAGGTCAAAACATATTGATATGAAGTATCATTTTTCCAGAGAGGAAATAGAGAATAATATTATTTCTATTGATTATATTCCCACAGAGAATCATCTGGCAGACATCTTCACGAAACCATTACCTCCTGGAAGATTCTCGTTATTAAGAAGGCAATTGGGACTACACCAAGAGGAATAACCTCAACAAAAGAAGACACGATTTAATCTAATTTCGTTAAACTGAAGTACCTATCTAAATTTTAATTTGATTTATGTTAATCGATGAGGAAACATTAAAAAACAAACAAAAATAATCTAACTAAGTTAAGTAATTGAAGTTCCTTTTTAATTTTAAATTTTGTATATCTGATGTTATTATATTAAGTACGTATAATGATCTGGTTGGGTTTTATCTGGGTTTCCCCAATCCTTGCAGCAAATGCACTTCCCAGAATGCACACTAGCCACATTAGAATAAGTAATGAAGTAACTATTGAACTTTAAGTTTGGTTTAACCATGTGAAATGTTGTTTTTGAGGTGGCGTATTGAATAGCCCTATTCTATTATCAAAAATAACATAACACAACACTGAATTAAGTATTTTGAGCAGACCTATAATCTGGTCACATTTGAATTTGCCTCTTATCTTTTTTCACGATTCCTGTGCATGTGGCGTGTGTTATTAAAAGCTCATAAAATAATATCTTAAATATAAAACCAATCTCAGTGTGTTATTTGTCTTGGTGCTAAGGGATTACAACAACGAAAAAAAATTGTTTATATATTTTTATTGTTTCCATGGGAGCTATGTATATGATATAGTCGTCCGATTTTGATAAAATTTATACCGTAACTCTGAAATATTTAACCATTACTATATGTCAAAGACATAAAAAAAAAATTAAAAAACAGCAGTTATAATTTTTTTTAAATTTTTTTTTTCGATTTTTCCTATGGGAGCTATATGATATAGTGACTAGTTTGCGTAGAAACGGACGGACAGACGGACATGGCTTGATCGACTCTCCTAGTGATGCTGATCAAGAACATATATACTTTATAGGGTCGGAAATGTCTCCTTCACTGCGTTGCAAACTTCTGACTGAAATTATAATACCCTCTGCAAGAAAATAAAAATTCCACGACCAACATAGAGGAGAATTTATAAAACATATAAATTTCCTCTTAATGGCATGAAAGGAGTCCAGCCTCTGCAACATGCGAGAAAACGAGGATGGTCAACAATTCATTGCAGTCTGCCCTATTCTGAGAGAGATTCGTTTTACATGTTTTACGAAAACCACCCTTTGCGAATCGGATCTCCTCAGTCTTCTAAATGGGGACAACTTGGAGATTCTGGCATGCTCTATTTTCAACCAGTATCTACAAGCAAAACATTATTTTAGAATATCTTTAGAATCAAAAATTACTAAATTAACCGACTGACGGCATAAAAGCCAAAGTCGTCGTAACCAAGTTTTGATTGTTTATTTGTAGCTCCCAAATTTTTTTTTATTATTTGAAAAAAAAAGTCTTGGTTACAAAAACGCCACTTACACCCTATCCCCCCTTTATGACTCACGCTTTACAATTTTTTTTTTTAAATTTTAAAAATTTTAAATAGATTATGCACATAGAACATATTTTTATAACATGTGATTTCCCACCAGCTTAGCTCTTTGAAAAATAAAATCAAGTCAAAAATTTGTGTTTTGTTATGTTGTGCGTGCTTGTCCAGACGTCTACCAACGCTGAGTGGCAGAATTTATATGTAGCTTTAAATTGTTTTTTTAAAGGGTCAAAAACCGGCAAAACGATTTTATACCAGTTTTGTTTATTAATATTTTGTTAATACATTTACATTTAAACCTTGCGTTGATTCGCGTTGATTCTAAACTAAAACTTTACAGATGAAATAGCACTTTTGTTAGTTTTCGGTTAAATTGGACATATACAAAAAACGGATAATTGACGTTGGCTTTCCGTATTTTATTATATTTTTTTTAAACTTTGAAACACATTATACGTCGACAAAAAAGTTGGTGCAAAAAAGCGCGTTTTTTCATTAGAGATGAGGCCATTCATCGATTGGCTTCTATCGATTATTAAAAATGATTTTTATATTTTTAAGGTGATTAAAATTTAAAAAAAATTATATTTTTTTTTTAATTTTTACTTCAAAAATTAGCTTCTATGCCAATTGAATTGAAAAATTGTTTTTTTTAAGCGATTAGTTTCAATTTCACTCCTTACTAACGATGCCTTTCGCTTAGTTTGGGATAACCGAGCCTTTCGAAAACAATTGGATGCAGGTTAATAGCACCCTGCAAACATAACTCCATATGCAACCCACCGCACAAATACTTTAAAGCACCATTCAGCGTTGTTTGACAACCATAGAAAATACCGGCATTTTTCGTTGACACCCTATTTTGGTTTACATGGCTTCCATGTAAAAACTCACGGTCTCCCCTCACTAGAAAACTGATATTCCTGTGCTTGGCTGGATCGTCTCTAATAGTGATGCTGATCAAAATTACATACACTTTATAGGAAATGTCTCCTTCACTGCGTTGCAAAGTTCTGCGGAAATTATACCTGCCACGGTCTAAAAACCAATGGTAATGTATGACGTATGATAATTAATGAATATTCTGTTCTGTAACTTTTATGGAGAAATAATAAAAAAGCGTCTCGGAAAAAGGTTGAATTGCGCTGCCCGTTATAACATAGCTGAATCGTCCCAAATCAAAAACTGAACTCACATTTGGGAAAAAAAAAATTTAAAATAAAATATTACAAACAAGAAAGGAAGCAAACTTCGGCAAGCCGAAGTTCATATACCCTTGCAGCTATTAAATATTATTGAATACATTGAAATTATGATTTACTTGCGTGTATGTTTAAAAGCATTAAGGCTATGAGGATTTGCAGCTAAATTATTTGAGTTTCTATGGCAATAAAAAACGTAGTTTTGAACTGTCAAATAATTAAATAATCAAAAAGAATTTCTAAAAAAAAATCAATTTAAAAAAGTTAAATTTTTTTAAATTTTTTTTCTTTTTATATTTTTATTGTTTTCATGGGAGCTTTAAGTTATAGTCGTACGATTTTGATGAAATTTAAACAGTAATTCTGAAATATTTAACCATTACTATATGTCGAAGAACTAAAAAAATAAATTAAAAAACACCAAAGTTATAATTTATTTTATTTAATTTTCCGATTGTTCCTATGGGAGCTATATGCTATAGTCGTCCGATTTTGATGAAATTTAAACCGTAATTCTGAAATATTTTACCATTACTATATGTAGAAGAACTAAAACAAAAATTAAAAAACAGCAAGGTTAGACAACTTTTGGTAAAGTTTCATGCAGATAGCTTGAAAACTGAGAGACTAGTTTGCGTAGAAACGGGCAGACAGACGGACATGGCTACATCGACTCTCCTAGTGATCCTGATCAAGAATATATATATACTTTATTGGGTCGGAAACGTCTCCTTCACTGCGTTGCAAACTTCTGACTGAAATTATAATACCCTCTGCAAGGGTATAAAAACGATGACGGAAGCTAACTTCGGCAAGCCAAAGTTTTAATACTTTTACGGAAGTTGCTAAAATTGCAAAAGTATCGAGAAGAATAACAAAAGTGTAATAATTGATCCTATGGAAGCTAAAACAAACAAAAACACCTCTTAACGAGGTAAAAATGATGTGACGATCGCACCTTCAACATATAACATCCCTGAGTAGGCAAAATAACTGGATAAAGCGGTCCGAATGGAACTATTAAAAAAGGTTTTTTATTGTTTTATATTACGCTTATTCATTTTTCGTTACAAAATTTCATATCATATATTTTGTATATTGAAGATGCGATCGGCAGGACTTAACTCCCTCGTTAAGAGGTGTTTTTGTTTCATAAGATTCTAAATTATTAACGTTATGAGAAATTTGTAGTCAACCATGCTTAGCCGACAACAAATGACAAAAATGTACTTTTAAAGGTCAATAAATAAATCAGGTCTACGCCGCCTCTATGAAATAAAAAATATAAGACCAAAGCCCAATTTATTGAGGCCGGTAGTATAAAAAGAGATAAGAGTATGGCCTTCAATTTTTCATACCATTGGCGTCTTCTCTTATTTACACACAGTAAGCTAAAAAATACTCTTAACCCCATACTCTTCAATAGTGAAATCCCATAATTTCTAAATTATTAAGAGCAAGCAATACAAAAAAATAAGAGAGATTATCAACTGACATATCTTTAATATGTTGAAAAAATATGTATACTTATTCTATCATTTGTAAATAAAAAGTTTTAAGGAACTTTTGGTTATTTCAGTTCTTAAATTTAACCAGAAATTTAAGCCGAAATTGATGGTTTTGGCAAGATAACAGATGTCTTTTCCACTAGTTTCAAGGATTTTCTGGAAGAAATTTTTTGTTTGAGAATTTTAGTTCCTTTTAATAGCAACTAAGCTAGTCATAATCAATAACAAATACAATGTTTGAAAAAGTTGTAAAAAAAAGCCTAGATTCGAGCTTAAGTTTAATAAAAATTGAAACAAAATGGTAATGCTAAATATGATTAGGATACGTAAGTTGTTAGTCCCCCTTTATTTGTTTTTGTTTACATGTATATTCGTAAAAACTTATGGGATTTCAGAGTTGAAGTGGTCAGTGTACAAATAGTTTTGTTGCTCACTGTGTGTACGAAA